TAGATGATATCTATTTTTTATAGTAATCTGGTTGAATCTTGAATAGTTTACATTTATTTGCAGAGATTTGTCTTTTTTCTTTACAAATAAGATAGGAACCATAGTTGAAAATTCAAAATAGAATATGAAGTTCTTAGCCAAATTCTTATTAATGTTCTCTTTAAATGAAACTAACTCATTTTGTGATAGGCTATAGATTGGTGTGAATGGTAGTTGAGTTCTTCTTTTATGATTGATGGAACAATCATAAAAATAATGCTTTAAAAGAATATCTACATTTTAGTTTTTAAAAAACATCTTGATAACCTTGATATTATATTGGAATGCCACTTGAAATCTTTTCTCCATCATCAATAGGTATAGCATATATAACAAAAGGAAATCCTTTATTTTCAGCATACAAGAAAGTTCCCACACCTATCAATTATAGTTTGGAAATATCAATCTTATGGATTTTTACTAGCCTAAAAAAATCTTAGACTAAACTATGAAAAAAATCAAGGTTATGATGTTGTATTGTGGCTTTGCTTTGGTATGAAAATAATGTATATATATATATATATATATATATATATATTTAATATACAATTTATTATACAATATAGGAAGAGTCACATTATTAGATTTTAGTTAGTTACAAAATATGGTTAGATTACTACTTTGAAGTAGTTAATCTAAAGAGCTATTGTTAAGGTTGATTTTATGTTGATAATAATTTTTTTATATTTAGGATCAGCTTTATTATACATTGGTGATTCTTGAAATCTTATTTTATTTTATTTATTTGATATTTAGAATACATATTATATAAAACTTATTAGAAAATGAATTATAAAAGAATTTGTATATAAAAAATGATAGTTAAGCCATCTATATAGATGAATGGAGATGGATGATAAAAATTTCTATTCCTATTGGCTAAAAGTCATGTCCAATGGACTTCAAGGAGGTTGCTTGAGACAATTTTGAGAATTAGGCTTATTCTTTTGAAGACATTTGAACATCAAAGCTTAAAATCATTATTTTTAGAATTTTAGATATAGTTTTGGTGAAAGTTTTGTATAATTTGGAGTTTTTGAGAAGATGATATATGCGCTCAAAATGAAGGTGCTGATATCATTCCTCTTGTCATTCTTTGGAGCATAGCTCATGCATATGAAGGGCTTTTGAAGATCAAATTAAGTTATTGGAAATTTTGATTAAAGAACTATATTCTACATATAAAAAGTAAGAGGTTTAAAGTGGATTTAAAGAAGCAGTGACTACTTGAATACAATACTTTCAAATTGAGTTTTGTTGGAGAATCAATTTCATGAGAGGTTTGGTTCTAACTATATCTTGGGCATTTAAACAAATCTTTGTCTAAAATTTTCTACAAATTTGTATTATTATTTTTTCAAGTTATATACCAAATTTTTTGGTATTTCGATTTTGGATTTGGAAATATAATGAAAATAGTTCTTGAATACTTATAAATTAGAATTTAGAGTACCTACTAGGAGTTCTAAGATGCCAAACAATCTATAGTAAATTTATAATTTTTTTTTTGTGGTAAAGCTTAAGGATAAATTCTAAATTATTTAGAATTTTGAAAAAATTTCAATAAATGGATCAAGAAATATAAAATCCTTAATTTTAGTAAAAAAATTCTTTTCAAAAAAAAAAATATTTTGAAAGGACTTTGCCACAATTTGAGCATTTTATACAAAATAAAGGGGTGTTTTGGGAGTCAAGTCTTTAAATATATGTTAAAGATGGAGATATGGAGCTATGATAATATTATAATATAAAGATGAGTTTTTGAAAGGAAATTGTGGATTTTCCTTGAGATTATTAAAAATCTAACTTACTAGCAAATGATTAGTTATGATTTGATATAACAAAGGATGTTATGAAATTTCTAGATGCTATAAAAAGTCTTATGTATAAATCTTCTTAAATATAAAAGATTTTTACTAATAAAATATCTTTTGATATTGTTGCATTTATTTATTTTTTATATTAAAAATAAATCTTTTATTGAAGCTTGGCCAATAAATTAAAGCTAAACTCTCTACAACCAAGTATCTAGTATATTTTTAGATTATAAATCACGCCTTATGATAATAGAAATCTAATTTATTTAAGAATTATAGTTTTTTTAGCCATAATTATTTTAAAATAATTTGATTAGAAGAAGATTTAATCATATTAAATATTATTAAACTATAATGACTATTAGATGCTATATCTAAAAGAATAATTTTATGTATAACATCTTCAAAAGACAAAAAACGACCATCTATTACTTTTATATGCATAGATTTGGTTTTCTTAACTAAGAATATATCTTATATTTTGACAAAGTCTTCATCTATAAAATAAGTTGAGGCTCCTAAATCTAACAATGCTAAGACATTGTGATTTTTTGATGTTAAAAAAACTTATTTTGTAAAAACAGATGAGGGATTTGAGGAAAGAATATGACCTTTACTAGAGATCATGCAGGATTTTAGCTGCATAGTCCTTATTGTAGTTGGAAAAACTCATTTTCAAACACATTGTCATCTTTGGCAACCATGCTCTTTATTTTGAGATTTTGTTATTTCTTTGGATAATATTGAGTAATGTGCTTGGACTCTTTAGAAATTAAATACAAACCTTCTTAACAATAATAAATTCTTTTTTGCTCAATAAGAGGTTTAAAATGTATCGTATTAATTTGCATAAGCTTTTACTTAAACAAATAAGCTTCTAAAAACTTAGAAGATATTACTATTGCTTAACTTGTATTTTTTTAATTAAATCTTTATTCTTTCTATCTTTTAATGAGTTGATTATTGCACACGATGGCTTGAACAATAAGGTGCTTCAAAAAAATTACTTTTAATATTATCATCAATAAATCTTTAATATTATCTTTTAATCTATATCAAAATTGATTGATAATAGCTTTATTATTCCAATCCATGTTGCAAATAAGATTTTGGAATTCAGGAACATATGTGGTAGCTAAATAAATCATTATTGTACGGATTCAAGCTTGATTTCTACTATCCATTTTTTATAATTTTTTACAAATACAGCCATAAATACTTCCAAAAAAGGATTCAAATCATAAAGTAATTCTAAATTTTTTTCCATCAAAGGTACAAATCAAGAAAGAATACTTTTTGATAGAAGTGCGCCTATAAATCTAACTTGAGTAAATCTATTGAGGTATTGGAAAAGATGCAATCTTAAATAGAACTTAATTTTTTATAAAAATCCTTAAAATTTTAATCTTATTCCATCAAACTCCTCTGGCATACTAATCCTTACTTCTTGTACTTGTAGAAATAAGACTTTTTAAAACTGGTTGTGATTTTGATCTACTTGCTTCTTTCAATTGCACAACTTTACGGCATAGATTTTGAACTTCTTCCATATATGTAGGAATAGTATCTCCATGATTCATGTTAGAAATATGTAAGATTTCTACTCTTAGAATGTTCACAAGCTTGTAAAGATTTCTAATAGTTGGATATCTATTTTTACTTCCAATAAAAGTAGTATTTAATTTTTGTTTTTTGTTTTTTTTTTCTTTTTTCAATAACCAACTCAAATAAATTCTAAAAACTAAATAAGATGAAAATAATTTGAAATCTAAAATATTAAATAAAAAAATTTACAACAAGAAATAATCCACTCTCTTTTAGAAAAAAATCATTGTTAATATTTTTTAATTATTTATTTAAAGGTGGATAGACCACAAATTTTAAATTACAACAATAGAAGTGAGATAATTCATTCACTTCTAAAACAAAACAAGAATAATAAATCAATATTATAGTCAAATTATCAAGGATAAGAATCTTGAAGAAAAAAACTACAATACATATATGTGTCATTTAAAAAGGCTTAGAAATCACTCAAAAGTGTAAATATATTGAATTATATTAGCACTTCCTAAAGCCAAAAATACTAAAAAGTCTTGAAACAAGTCTAAAGATTAAAAAGGCATTGACAAGAATGAAGTAGGTTTTACATTTGCTTCCATATATATTATCTAACTAGGAGCTACGTGGCAATATTCTATAAGATCTCCAACATATGTTGAATTTGGTAGATACATGTCTTAACTTGCAAAACAAGATTTATATAAAAGTGGAGCATACTTAAATTATTCAAAAAGCTACCAACATGTGTTGTACATACTTAAATTATTGATGAAATTTCTAACCTACAAATCAACTACAAATACATGTATAAACAAATTGGTTTCAATTGAACTTTTAAGAAGTTTTCTTAAAAGATACACTTTTAAAAGATAAACTTTTAAAAGATAATAATCCAAATTTACCAACTTCTATCAAAACATATAAATAATTATTGGAATAAATGTGAATATCCATGACACTTCACCACTTTTCTACCAACTCTCATAGTCCCTAGGATTTTGAAAGAGGATTGTGATGAATTAGAAGCTTCATGCTTAAGGAATAAGCGGATGGTCAGAACAACCAAGCAGCCAAAGTAAAATTGGCAAAGCACATGTGTCATGGCTATAGACACCCCCGTCATCATATGGCCATACAGTATTGGTTCACAAATAGGAAAATGCTGCATTTCCACTCAGACGGAAACATGTTCCAGTATGAGCTAATAATGGCAAACCCACCGGACGATTCCCTTACGATTTATATTTGAAGTGAAGAATCTAAAGTCTGCAGCTGTTCGTTGACAACCATACGGACCAATTGTCATAGTTCCCTAGGATTTTGAAAGTGGATTGTGACGTCTTCGAAGCTTCATGCGGATGGTCCGAACAAGCCAGCAGCCGAAGTAAACTCCAGGTCATCTCAAAAGGCTGTCAACGTTGAAAGAAACCAACAGGCGCCTGGAAAAGGAACAAAAGCCGCAAGAAAAAAGTCGCCAAGACTGCACTGTTCCTGTCGAAGTCCTACATCATTCAACGCTCTTCCCTGGCTTGTGGGCCACCACATTCACTCTGCACACTCCCCTCATCTAGAAAGCGATGCTGAATGAAGCTGCACAACAGAGAACTTCTCTGTGCACTCAACGCATTCAGGAAGTGTAGCAGATAGAGCAACAAACTTGTGAGCTAACAGATTCAGAGCGAGACGTCTGCTCAACTCGGGCCACCTTCTCGCCGGCACATTGTGCGTTGCATATAAGCCCCCTGATTTTGGCAGGTTAAGAGATCCTAGGCAGTGGCTGCAGGGCCAGTTCACCGGAACAAATTGAACGCTCATTGTCCGGCCGCTTCGAGACAACCCCGAGTGAGCAGCTCGGACTCAACATCCATTCCGAACCCAAACGTGCCCATGGCACCAAGCGGAGAAGTCGACGTTCAGGGTGCTGCCACAAGGAGCGCGCTTCCCAGAGGCCAGCCTCGCGCTGAGGGACCAGCATGTGTGTTGGGCGTCGGCACTGCGGTGCCTCCCGCGGAGTTCCTGCAGAGCGAGTACCCCGACTTCTTCTTCAACATCACCAACTGCGGCGAGAAGGACGCCCTGAAGGCCAAATTCAAGCGCATCTGTAAGTCCACCTCCACCGTATGACTCTCTTAGCGGCTCGTGATGTGCTCACTGTTCCACAAGCTACTAATATGTGGTTAACTTTTAAGTCTAATCTTTATATATATGGATCACAAGAACTTCAAGTACTTCATATTGAGATATGATTTGAATTTTTGGAGCATGTTTTTATGAAGATTTGATCTCAAGGTCACTTATCTATCCAAAAAATAACCAAGTATTACAAACGTCCTATCTAGACATTCTTATCTTGCACCAAATAAAAAAAATAAAAATTTTGGTCAACAAAAAATTACTCTCTTGAAGCCAAATGATTATCACCTTCAAGGAATAAAATCAATATTAACTATTGATTCAATTTTTCTTAAGCAAATTCAATCAAGTATGTCCTCTAATCTTTTTATTCATGATATTAAGAATAATTATTATAACTCTTATGAGTCTTCTTAATTTAAATTTAAGAATAAATTATTCTATATTAAGAGATGCTTATACATTTTGGAAGACAAAGCATGATTACATATTATTTAAGCTTATCATAACTTTCTAATAGTTAAATATATTAGATACAAAAATATTTTAGAAGTAATATCTAGAGATATTTGGTTGTCTCAAATGTAGAAGGCAATCAAAGGCTTTGTACAATCATGTGATATTTATTCAAGATTCAAAACTCCTCATCATCAACTTTATGGACTTCTTAAAATATTACCTATATTAGAACAATTATGGTCTTGTACTTTTATGAATTTTATCACACATCTTTGGATCTTGGATTTATATGATATCATATTTTTACTAATAGATTATTTAATTATATTTTTATATTTTGTACTATGTACAAAATCTATCACAAGTGAAAAAATGGCTAAGATTTTTCTTGATGACATCTATTACTATCATGGATTGTGTAAAGATACTATATTGGATAGAAAGACTTAATTATATTAAGATTTTGGAGAACCCTTTTTAAGATTCAAAATGTGAATGTAAAGCTCTTTTTGGCTTTTCATCTTCAAATTGATGGACAAACAAAACAAGTGAATTAAATTTTGGAGTAATATTTGAAGTGTACTATCAACTATCATTAAGATGATTGGATAATTCTTTTGCCATTGGTAAAGTTTGCATACAATAATTTGATTTATTCATCTATTCAATAAATACCTTTCTTTATCTATTATGGTTATCATCCATGACTTGATACTTTTGACTTTTTAAAAGTTGATAATCTTGCAAAAGATGATTTAGCAAATTATTTATCAAAGCTACATGCAATAATGAAGGCGCAATTAAAAAAAGCTAATGAATGACAAAAGTTCAATATAGATGCCTATTACAAGGAATAACCACAATTCAATGTGAGCAATAAAATAGGATTACTTTGTTATAATATAAAGACTACTTGTCTTTGTAACAAGTTGGACTATCATAGGCTTAAACCATTTCCTATTTATGAAGAAAACAATGACATTGCTTATCAATTATATCTACTAGCATCTATGAAGAGCCATCTTATACTCTACGTGTTTCTTCTTCAATCATATAAGATAATGAATATCTTAAAAAGAAGAAAAATGCCACCTCTTTCTATAAAATTGGATAATAATCAAAAACTAGAGGTTGAAGAAGTCTTAAATTGAAGGTACTGCCAAAATAGATTAAAATAACTTATTCATTGACAAGAGATGTTGTTAATAAATTTACATGAATACCAACAAAGAATCTTACAAATATAGCTAAGAGAGTTGAGGCTTTTTATCAACAATGTCTATCAAAATCAAGATGAAAAATAGTAAGATCCATGAGAGATGATGGTTGCTTTTTATTTCTAAAAGAGAAATTATCATCATGGATATATGTATATATTTCAATAATTATATATATCATTAAGTAGAAATAAATAAATATAGATTAATTTTATAATATCTTGTAAAAAAACTTCTTAGAAGCATCATAATGTGGTTCTGATTTTACATGTATATATATTTGATTAATAAATTAGAAATTTGGTCAACAACTTAACTAAATATCACACATGTTGGAAGCTTCTAAAAGAGACTAATGATATGGTGCACATATAAGAAACTTGCCTTGTAAGTTAAAACATATATCTCATAAAGTCAACATCTATTGGCGGTCGTATAGATGATTGCCATGCAACTTCTAGTTCGATAGTATATATAGACGCAAATGTAGAGCTTCCTTCATTCTTATCAATGCTTTTCTAATTCTTAGTCTTATTTCAAGACTTTCTAGTCTTCTTATCTTTGGCAATAGTCAATTTAGTTTAATATATTATCATCTTTGATTGATTTTTAAGTCTTTTTGACTGATACAAGAATATATTGGGATTTTTTTCTTTCAAGATTCATGTCTTTGATATGAAGTAGAATACAAACAAGATCTTACAATACAAAACTAAGTATTTACAATAAATGAATTTTTTTTGTAGAATAAAAAAAAATAGAAAATTATTTAAATGAGATTCTTTCTTACTATAAATTTTATATAAAAATAAAAAAATATTATTAAAAGATATAAATATAAAAATACTAAAAAATAATTTAGTGTTAATATTAATAACTGGATTGTTGATAAACTCAAAGTTAAAAATTATTTTAAGAAGTAGAATAAATATAAGTGAGATTTTTAATTTTAATTGAATTTTTTTGTTACTATTGCTTTAAAAACAAATCATTGCTTAAAACATAAATAAGATTTTTTAAAAGTTTATTTTAAGAAATTAATTATTAATTTAATTTTCTTTTTTAATTCTAATAATACCTTTTGATTATGATGATAATTCAAATTTTTAAATGTCATTAGTAATATGTGTTTTTAATTTGTTGTTATTGTAGTTTGAAAATTTGAATTCAAATAAATGATTCAATTAAAACATATAAATATTTAATTAGATTAGGATCTTAGAATTAAGATTTTAAGAGTAAATGAGGATTTTTTTGATGAGGGTTTATTTTTAAGCAATAAGCCTTTCTAATTGAAATGATTTTATTTGAGCCAATAAAGAAATTATTTTTCTATAATAATGTCAAGTTTAAGGCCATGTAACTAGTTTAATAAAGAGCTTTTGTTGCTAATAAATTAACTTACAGGTTTCTAAAGTAGGACAGTAAACATTCAAAAAAATTAAAAAATATATATATATATATATATATCAAAAAATAAGTACAATTTTATTTATAGATCATTTGAAAGCTATTAAGCTATTACAATGTTGACAAGAACTCTTGCTTATCTAAATTGTCTATTTTTGTATCTTTTTATTTTGGTGGAAAAGTCTTTCAATCTATGCATTTTCAACTCTTTGCAACAAGGACATTTTGTAGGCGACATGCATGCAGTGTTGTGGAGTTTGGGATATCGATGCTCATAATAGATAGACTATGCCTTGGGATTTAAATTTTTGGTGTGGTCATCTCATATTTCCTTTGTCCATCTGGAACTAGTTAAATAAGTAGGCATTTATTAGAGTTTGGCATGGTATTCAAACCCCTCTTATTAAAATGCAATTTATAGCGCATAAATATCTAGTGTTGATTTTTTTTGCACTTGATGTGTAGTTAGACTAGTAATTAGAGTGTATGTAGTTAGATTATTTTGAAAGAACTTCATTTTAAGTTTTAATTTTTTCAATATTTTTAATTGTTTTTAGATCCTCCATTGCAACCAAGAGAATCTAACTTTTAAATCAACTAAAAAAATCAAATCGAATCAAATTAGAAAGATATACTATTTTGGGTTGTGTGTGAATTTGATGTGTACAAAAACTCGAAAATTTAGGTGAGTTATCTTGCATTCCAACCAAATGGTTGTGAGCACAAATTAGTCAACATAAACACAATCCTTGCTCAATGAAAAAATCTTGAATTCCGTCGCATGAAAATGTATTGAATTCATGATTAACATATCTCAAATGAAAATGAAAAATGAAAAAAGGACATTGTTTGAATTCACCTGTCCACGAAATTTATAGTGGATATTAGAAGTTTTCAATCAATAGGAGCATTACATGCCGTAATCAAATTGTTGAATAATGAATAACAAATGCTGTTAATTCACAATCACAAAACTTGTCTACACATATGCAAAGCTTGTGTTTGTAAAGCATGGAAATGTTTTACACAGAAATTGCATTTAATATCTGCCTGGGTCATGAGCTGATACGTATAAGTTAAATTCCATTCTTTGTGAAAGCGTCTATTTGAATGTAAATCAACTATCTCGCTCTCGTGAGGTTCTTTAATATATCCAAATGGTCATGCCACATGTCAAAGACCGCGGTAAAGTCTAACAATAAGACTCTCCAATCGATGGTCAAAATTGGCAATGCACATGTGTCATGGCTCTAGACACCCCCGTCATCATATGGCCATACAGTATTGGTTCACAAATAGGAAAATGCTGCATTTCCACTCAGACGGAAACATGTTCCAGTATGAGCTAATAATGGCAAACCCACCGGACGATTCCCTTACGATTTATATTTGAAGTGAAGAATCTAAAGTCTGCAGCTGTTCGTTGACAACCATACGGACCAATTGTCATAGTTCCCTAGGATTTTGAAAGTGGATTGTGACGTCTTCGAAGCTTCATGCGGATGGTCCGAACAAGCCAGCAGCCGAAGTAAACTCCAGGTCATCTTAAAAGGCTGTCAACGTTGAAAGAAACCAACAGGCGCCTGGAAAAGGAACAAAAGCCGCAAGAAAAAAGTCGCCAAGACTGCACTGTTCCTGTCGAAGTCCTACATCATTCAACGCTCTTCCCTGGCTTGTGGGCCACCACATTCACTCTGCACACTCCCCTCATCTAGAAAGCGATGCTGAATGAAGCTGCACAACAGAGAACTTCTCTGTGCACTCAACGCATTCAGGAAGTGTAGCAGATAGAGCAACAAACTTGTGAGCTAACAGATTCAGAGCGAGACGTCTGCTCAACTCGGGCCACCTTCTCGCCGGCACATTGTGCGTTGCATATAAGCCCCCTGATTTTGGCAGGTTAAGAGATCCTAGGCAGTGGCTGCAGGGCCAGTTCACCGGAACAAATTGAACGCTCATTGTCCGGCCGCTTCGAGACAACCCCGAGTGAGCAGCTCGGACTCAACATCCATTC